CAACACTTAGTGTCGGTCCACAATAAATATTTCATCTTTAAGCCGTAAGAAATTGACCAATCATAGTCGAGTATTCTTTTCATATTCGATTATAATTGATCAATTTCTTACTTCTTAAAGCTTAAATCACCTATTGTGGACCAACACTTATGTGTTACGCGCGGCGGAAGTTAATGACAATAGCCAATCAATTTATCACTTTTTCATAAGAGCGAAAGTATGATTGGCTACCAACTTCCCCCCCATGTTTCCTTTCCGTTCCGCTATTTCCTTGGGGATACGCTTTCCTGGAGATCGATCATGCAAAGGTATATTTATGGGGACGTATCTATGGATGTACCCTTACATGGTCGACCTTCAGGAAAGCAATTTACAATTATGTAAAAAAATCTTTGATATGATTAGTTTTTATCCTTAGTTGCTCATGGATTTAAATGTATAAACCAATCATATTGAAAAATCTTACAACATTGCAAACTTGCTTTCTCTGACTGCGTTCCAATATTCACTGCTAATACTGAAAATATATAGTTCAGGTCACGTATATTATAGATTTTCAATACTTGCAGTAATTATCGGAGTCTCTACTGAACGCAGCCAATGATGGCGGCGACAGTGATGGAGGCGGTCATGGCAGCGGTAATGGTGATGGCGGCGACTGTGACGGCTGGCGGCGGTAGTAGTAGTGGCGATGGTGATTTTGCACGAGTGTTTATTATTCCTGTAGTGCGTGTCACGAAACTGAGAACGTTCTCTCTTTGTTTTCGTGATTGTTTTTTGGCACTCGCGATCTGTTTATCGCGGGAAAACGATGTCGGGATATCGTAAAGTAAATTATTATGAATTATGTCGACTATGTACCAGCAGTGAAGGTAGCAAGATGAATATTTTTCGCGATGAAGGACGTAGACGACAATTACAGACAAAAATACAAACGTATCTACCGATACAGGTGAGCATTCAACTTGCGGTATGAACTATTTTTAATCTTTTTTTATAATAATGTAGTCATTTAGTCATTTAATACTCCTTCATTTAATACTCCTATTTATTGACGTGTCCTAAGTGTAACGCAAAAGAACAACATTCAATAAGTTTGAATTTTGTGAGATTTGTATCGAGACGTCGGTAAAATGTTTCGACTTATTTGGCGAGAATTATTTTCATGTTAAAACTAGCAATAATAACAAAATAATACAAATGATAACAATAAAATAAAAAAAAATTAGATTTTTAAGACATCATTATCAATATATATATTTGTCAGTTAATATTTTATTGTCAAAACAAGTTTTACATGGATGTTGTTATTTATAGTCTATAGTAAGGTTATATATTCATTTCCATATTATGTATTATTTTTGTATTATGAAAAAAGTTTAAAACTCATAAAATTTTGAATAATAAAACATGATTTATTATATATTTATGTATATATAAATATACATATATATGTACGTGCAGTATGTATGTGTATTTGTGTGTGGGTGTATCTGTAAATATATGTTTTTATATAAAATAATGCTTTTTGTATTTTGACAATTATGTATCAAAAAATTAAAAATATTATAGTATAACAGTAGTATAATGATATTATATTAATTTTTGCTCTTGTGTTGGAAAAGATAAATAGTGTGTATACAATATGCTTTGTAATATCTAGTATAAAATAAAATAAAAAGGTAATGATATCAGTAAATGCTTTTCTTTTTTGTTTTATCATATATTAATTGGAATTTAGTACTCAAAACTTATAAAGCTTTTATTTCCTATATATATATATATATATATATATATATATATATATATATATATAGTATAAAGTACACTATTATTCTTTTATTATATATATATTTCTATACACACACACACACACACACACACACATATAAATATAATTAATATAAATAGCTAATACATAAGTTGTATATTCCTAGTATATCAATTTATAAATTTTTTAATTGTTTTATCATTGATATGAAATTTATTAAATATTCTTTTCATTAAAGTATTGTTTCACTTTATGTTATTTAATCAATAGTTCGATTGTCTAGTTATTTATTCTTGTTCAATTTATTTTAACAGATGGGAAAAAGGATATATTTTGTTGTTTACAGTTAAAAATAAAAAAGACTTTGGATTAAGCAGATTTTAAATACTAATCAATTTAATTATCTATTAATTTATTAGTTCTAATATATTATGAATATATATGGCAATAAATTAACATTTCATTTTATATTTGTATCATAAAAGAAAAGTTAAATTCGAATAAATGATAGCATATATTGAAATAAATAAATTTTATTGTTTTTATTTAAGGATTATAATATATGTTATTTATTCATATTTATATCTATATTTTTCAAAGGTTATGGAAGAGGACTCATTACCAAAAATTGTATGTCATGAATGTGTCAAGAAATTGGAAAGTTTCATAGAGTTCCGAGAAACTGTGATCAATGCTGAGGGTATGCTGGAATCTTATTTTACTTCACTTCGTTTTTCTGAAGAATTTTTGAAAGAAGGGAAAGTTTATGTAAAGAATACTGAAAAAGAAAGATCATCTACACCAGAGGATGAAGTTTTAAAGTCAATAGATAAGGTGCCAACACCAGTAGGATGCCAAATATTAAATAATCAACAATCAGATCAAATACAGCATCAACAACCTGTTGTAGTTAGCAATATAAATACATCTAATATACAAATTATCAGTGGAGTTCAAGCTAGAGTACAGCAATATAAATGTGCTATGCAGGTCTGTAAATAATATTTTATATTTTTTACTTTATTTTTGTGTATGCATGTATGCGCGCGCGCACTTGTATGTATAGGTGCGTATGCGCGTGTATCCCGATTTATAACATTCTACTACGATTCTTTCAACTCCTAGTTGCCGTCCCTCTCTATCTCTCTAAGCGTTCTCTTCCAGATCTCCCTAATTTCTTCATTAATTCTTTCTCTTCAACTTCTCTTGATTTTTCATGTTCTATAACCTGGCATCTACAATTTAGGCAATCTATCCCCTATCATCCTCTGTACATGTCCATATCGCATCAATTGTTTTGTATTGATATTGTCAATTATCGTATGTTTATCATAATTTCTCTAATACTGTTAGTCTCCTCTAATAATTTCTCTAATACTCTTTCTCTCCTTGATCTTCCAGTGCTCTTCGCCAGAAATTCATTTCCCTAATCATTAACATTTTTTTGGTTCTTTTCTTAATCTGCCATACCTCACTGCTATATGTTATGATACTTCGCACTATTGTATTGTTTATTCTTTGTTTATTAGTTTTTAATATGTTTTGGTTTCACAAAATTCTATTCAATATAGATATAGTTCTCCTTTCTTTCTTTCTCTTATTGCTTTGTCTAAGACATCCTTTTGTATGATTTTATTTTATATAACATCTTATATTAAACACATTTTGAATAAATTTATCATAAAATATATTGGATGATTATTCAGATAAAAAGTAATAAGATTATTCAGATAAGAAGTAATGTCATTTTTTTTTTATTCAGATGCAACCAGGTGGTATGGCTGCAGCTGTTGTTGAGGCTACAGCAGAGACTCATTATAGTTATCAACAGCAAACCTCTCAAGTATCATCACAACAATCAAATGAAGCACAAAATCAAATCAATGATCAGCAAAATCAATCTTCTGCGATTCATCAACAACAAGCTCAGAACCAAATATCGAATCAAATAAACCAGCAACTACAATCCCAAAGAACAATTCCTCAACAATTAAATCAGTCAACACAATTATCTCAACAGAATCAAAGCCAAATTAGTCAACAAATACAAGGACAATCACAGATATCACATCAGCTTCAACAATTACAAAGACAACGTGAATTTGAAAAACAGCATAGACAACTTCAACTTGAAAAACAGCAAGTGCAAATTATAACACAACAAGAGTTTTCAGTAAAACAAGAGACACCAGTTGTACATCAAAATAATAATATAGTTCTTAAAAGTGAAAACGATATGGAACCAAACCAAGTCGAGCAGAAAATACAATCTGAAACTCAAAAAGATAAATCTCCTAACCGAAGTATACAAACTTATACTACAGTACAAACAGCACCAGAAGTATTTCTAAATTTGGATTTCAAAGAAAATCCATTGACAGTTCGAGACGATAAAGATTTTAAGGAATTTACAAAAACGTCATCTGATGATGGAATATCTCGTAATTCAATTGAACAAATTAGAGAATTTCTAAGACTTAGATCAGGATCAGAACCAACTTCTTTAATTACTGTAAATCCTCCAGTACTTTCTCAGGCAAGAACCACTATTTGTCGCGATTGTGGTAAAAGTTTTTCTTCATTGAATCAGATGAGTAATCATAATTGTAATGTAGAGACACTTGTAAATGGATCATCAGATGTTGGAAGCAAGGATGATTCTTTGCAAACTAATGTTAATTCTTTCAATTGTGACATTTGTAGTAAGCCCTTTAAACGGAAAGAGCATCTTTTTCAGCATCGAAAATTACATACTGGTGAGCGACCGTATGTATGTACGACATGTTCAAAAGCATTCAGTCGTAAAGAACATTTGGTTAGACATTCGGTATCTCATACTGGACAGAAAATGCATGAATGTGAAATGTGTGGTAAAAGTTTTTCACGTAAGGATAATTTACACAAACATAGAAAAACGCATGGAGTATCTGGTCCTTATATTTGTGAAACTTGTGGGAAGTCATTTGTTGTAAAACATTATTATGTGATGCATTTGACTACTCATGCTGTAGCTGTTATGGATGGTATAAATTGCCCAGATCCATTGCCATATAAATGCGATATATGCCATAAAGCATTTTCAGTAAAACAATATCTTACTACACATAGACTTAGACATAGATCAAAAAATAATAACAACTCTACACAAAATGGTTTAAGTGGGCATCAATCGAACGCTACAAATAATACAAATGTAGTGACAAACAATGTTAGTAATATTGGAAATTTAAATAATAATAATGGGCAATCTAGAAATGACTCGACTGTGGAAATGCAAAGCGTTATTGAACGAAATGAACAAATTAATGGATTTGTTAGCAATCAGTATCATGCTAATATACAAGAGCTTCAATGAGATAAGGGAAAGCGTGTCTATTATGTTCTCTTGCCAAATGGTAACAATCATAAGATTGTGGTTGTATAAGCAAGAGAAATTTTATGGCGCGCTAAAATATTTTCTTATATAGTTTTGTTTTCGTACAAATGCGGTTTTTTGTACTTTAATATTATAGAAATGAAAATCAAACAAAGTTATTCTGAAATATTAGATATTTTGATGTATGTACATCAAACAAAAAATAGATCTGTTGAATGCTTTAAGCCGGTACGACAATGTAAATATTTTGCTGACAAAACATTAACTACATGGAATGCAGGCTGTAAGTTTTAAATGAATGCTCATTCGTATTCATTCAATGCTAATTTGCATTTAAAAGATGTTACTAATGTTTGTACACAACCTTTGTCACTAAAGTAATGAAAATAATAAAACGCAATATTCACGTTAGATATCAAAATCACAAATTGGTTTAACTTTACAAATCTTGCTAGTACAACGAGATTAAATATAATTCGGTTTATTAATTAGCAAATAATTACGAAATAAGATTTATATTTATTAATATATATGCATAATTTATATAATTATTATATAATTAATGCATTTAATATGAACATAGAAAATAATATAAAAATGTCAAATAATAAAATTTTTATATCTAAAATTTGACGTTACATGAAATGTATATGAAGAAGAAATTGAAAGAAGTTTTTATATATCCAAGATTTTATTTCTTTTTATTATTTTTTTCGACGACCGTCTCATATTTGATTGCCAGTTTTATTCAGTTGCACTTGTCTAGATAATTCTATTTGATATAAAATGTGTGTGGTGTGTGTGTGTGTGTGTATGTGTGTATGTGTGGTGTGTGCACGTGCGCACATACCCACCTGCGCGCACAAACACACGCACGCGCACACACACACACACACACACACACACACACACACTCCGCCCACCCACC